GCTGGCCGAGGCCGTACTGAGGCACAGAGGTGCAGTGAGCAAAATGCTATTGCCAGCATGCTAACATACTCAATAGTAACAGAGTGGTGCAGGCATGGGTAAAGGTAAATAGCTAACATTGGGCTAAAAACAAACTACATCACATCAGCAACCACTGGTAAGCTAAAGGTGGCTAGTGTTCAGCGTGAGTAGTCTCATTTAGCCACTTTTTTGCAACCGCCATTTTGTACATGGAGGCTCAAGAAATTCCTACTCCGGGTACTAAATGCCATATTTTAGAACAACACATGAAAAACCAAAGACCTCACTTTGAGAATCTTACCAATAAAATCATTCATTAAATATTGACTGCGAGAAGAAGAAGCCTGGAACTGCTAAAATGCTAACCCATTTCCTGGTTTATGACTCGTTCCTTAACCACTCTATACAGTGAGCATGACTTTTCAATGTCCTATCTCTCTGTCCTGAAATGTTTTCCCCTCTGAAAGGTCAGGCTCACTGTCTCTCTGTAACTCAAGGATTTACAGATTTATAGCTTCCTGCCAGATAAACTGGAGCTGTCTGCCAACAAGAACAACAAGCTCCAAGAGTGTTGATTCTACAGGGCAAGAAATCAATAAGGCAACAGAGCGCAGCAGCCAAAGAGCAGGCCTCGCCTCCAACAGCTTTATGGAGCACAGAGATGTTTCCAACCAACAATCCTGCATCACACCTTCCTATGGATTTACAGACTATAATTGAAACTGTGGCAGCTGTCTGTGTTTCAATTAATCCGTTTCTCATGCTATCATGGACCACTGAGCATGTCCAGCCAATGGCGAATGTTCACCAATGTATAGGTTGGGGTTTTTGTGATAGGAGGAGGAGCTATAAAGACCTTTAGAGGAATTAGATGTTTATGTACTTGAAACAAGTCATGCAGCTGTCACCAGTAAAGCATAGCGTAGACGCCCCTTTCAGTCCAAAGAGAAAAAGGTTTGCATCCACAAACAGCTTGGTTAAAGTAAATTATCTCACTTTCCCTAAATAGTCTACTTTCCAGCAGTGTGAACCCAGAAATGTTGAGTACCCCAAAGTTTTATGTCAGAAATGTATAGTGCAGCACAAAGAAACTGCCGGATGCTAACTTGCATACATTGGGCAATTTGCACAATTGGGAAAAATTGCATTAATTAGCAGCGATTAGCATGTGCAGACAATAGCTCAAAATTGGCTTGGCCAATTTGGACAGTTTTCGTGTAGATTTTGAGAAATATTGAGGAGATTGAATCTATTTCTGCCATTTTTAGGATAAAAAATGGCAGTTTAGAGTCCCCTTATTAAAATCGACCCAAAATGAATCAAAAATAGCCCACAGAGATTACAAATATGGCCACTTTCTGGTTAAAACTGCCGTTTGTGAGATCATACTCTCAGAAATTGATTCAACATCAACAAAACCACTAAAACATGTGCCAAGCCATTTGATACTATTGTCTGCATATGCTAATTAATGCAACTTATGCTTATTGTGCAAATTGCCCAACATATGCAAGTTTGTATCTTACAGTTTCTATGTGCTGGGGACATGTACTGTACATTTCTAACAAACTTTGGGGTACTCAACATTTCCAGGTTCACAACAGGACTATTTTAGCTGGCAACTAGACTATAACCTTTGTGTTAGTTAAAAAACCTGAGTGGTTGGAGAAGCTTAATTTACGACTGGCCCCTTCCTATTATGAAGCTAAAAAATAATGCACACTCTCCAACCAATCAAAATCCAATACACACTTTGGATAGTTTAAAAAAATATATATATATATATACACATCTGAGCAATAAACAGTTGGTTGTAGCAGGCGGAGGTTGTACATGTCATGTCTCACTAACCGGCCAAAATGTATTTAAGCAAGCAAACACATTAAATAAAAGTCCTATGTATAGAAGAGAGCTGTTGATTTGTGAACAGACCCAAATACCTCTTTCAGTTACATAACAATCTCAGTAACATATGTTCAGTAATAATGAATGCTGTTTTTCTTTCTAAGAAACAGATATATTTGTATTAGTTGATGATATGTTACATCACATAAATGTGTGGATATTTATGTGGTGACTAATCTGCCTGAGATTCCTGTTAACTCACATAACTGTTCCCAACACATCCTTTCCCTTTCTTTTGAATTCAATGCCATTTACATTTATTTGTTTGATCTGCTTTAAATACACTGTAAACCCTTCAAGTTTGTAAACTTTTGCAAGACTGTTTTCTCTTAAAATGTTCTATTTATTATGCTCCTCTATAATCTTCCAATGTAGCTACAGTTTAGTGTTGGGAGAGGATTGTGCTCTTGAGACAACATTGTCCTTAGCTTGTAACACGAGTGATATTAAGGTCATGACAATAACATGTTATATACTGACTACATGGTATAACTAAGACACTAGAACAACTATGTAAAGGATATTACTGACATGTCTGATTTAACAGTCTTATTGCCAGTTCTGCCAGAGATGTTGATGACAAGCTCTGCTCTCCACAATAAAGATTTTGGTGAGCAGCTCCCCCTAGTGGAGGATCACCTGCACTGCACTGGAGATAGTTACCGTCTTCTTCAGGGTGAACTGTATCTTAACCTCGACACTAACAGGTTAAAGTCTTCTTATAGCAATAATGACTTCATTTAAAGTGGACCTATCATGCTATATTTAAATGATATATTGTAGGGCCATACCTATATAAGGTATATTTATACGTTTCTGTTTTCAAAATACCAAACAGATCATGCATTTTAGCCATGCCTCATTTCGCTCTATTTGCTGTTCTCCAGCCCTGTTTTTGCAGGGGGCTGATTCTGTGAGCTGAAGCTGACCACGCCCCCCTGCAGGAGAGGGGAGCCGCTCTGATCAAGTCAGAAGAGGGGGAGAAAAATAGATCTCCGTCCTCCGTGTTTTATTATATACTGTAGAGTCGTTATTCATTTGTTTTAAAGCTCAATAAATAACAAAGAAGACCTTTGACCGGCACTTTTCTAATTTTGTCCGGAAGATTTAAACTTTAACGGACATCTTGACCGGCGAAAGAAAATCTAACTGAAACTCTGCCGCACGGTCCCCTCGTTCCTTGGAAGAGGCGGAGAGGTGGGTATTTGTCATCTGCTGGTGGACTAACCGGAGAGAATTACAGTGCTTGCCTCGACGGGGAGGGATTGCATTGAATTACAGCAGCGGGAGCAAACGCTTGCCTCGGGGAGGGAGAAAAAAAGCCACAGCGGAGAATAAACAGAAGGGTAACCATGGTAACCATGCACGGGAAGACTTCTTCGCTGCTTTTGTGGCAGACTACAGCGCCACTTACAGGCCTGGCATATGTATTACAGCGTCTCCAGCGCTTTCGAGCGGCAATGGCCGGCCGTGGCCCAACCCCACATTCCCCTGATAGGTGGAAAGTTGGCCCAATAGCTGTAGCGCCACCGTCCTGACGTCAGGACAGTGTTCAAATCTGGATCAGTTTTTATCAGATCCGTTGCAGCCCCTTTTTTAGAGATTTGGGTATGGAGGAAAATAGAGAGGGTTGTGTTTTCTGACACTTGGTGAGTTCCCTGGAACACCGGGGACACATATTCATGTATAAAAGACGTACAAAAGTGCATTTTGCATGATAGGTCCCCTTTAAGATGGAAATACAGTGAAATTAAGTGGATTTGAGTAGTCTCTTGGATTTTCTAATGTGAAACATGTCTCTATAGAGTGGTGCAGTGATGACGTTTTATTTTAGGGCGACCAAAAAGTTAGCATTACAAGGGTTCCCTGTACTAAAAGGAATGGGATTCTTCCATTGCTATATGGAATACTGCACAAAATAAGATATGTGGCAAACTCACATTTATAATATTTACACAAATATCATATTTACACATTTTGTTAAACTGGATAATCGTCACTTAATAACATAAACTACCCGACGGTAACATGACTTCACATCACCAACGCTAAGCTAAAAGTGGACTTGTCTTTGGTGTGATGAAGTTAAATAGTCTTATTTAGTAACTTGTTAGCAACCGCCTTTTCTTTATAGACCTTATTTCAGGCATCCAACCAAAAACATAATGGAAAAAAACGATTGGCTCGCGAGAAGGAAACTGCCAGTGTGCTTTCCGGGATTAGGACTCAAACCCTGCACATTGTATTGTAATCCACTATAGATTACATAGATCTTGCTCAGCACATTGTTCTTTCAGTGCATTAAGATGCACTTAAGTCTCCATGTAGATTGATCCATCTCATTTTATCTGATTTCTTAAACTCATCCATGTACACAAAAGCAGAGTTCTATTTGGATGTCTACAAGTGCAGGTCAAAGACTTTCCATAGAAAAAGATGAGCAAAAGGATGGAGGGATGCTACTATACATATTACTTTTAATTCCATCAACAATCTGTCCTTCAAGGAAACCAAAAACTGACATGCAGCAAGTATGCGTGGATTTATAGTAACTGGATTGTGTGGTAAATGGATCTGCATTATTTTGCCCAAGAGCGCTGCGGACTAGAGGAACTGGAGACCAGATTCACAATCTTATGATGAGGGGGACAACTTACACTACAGTACATCCTGAGCCACAACCATTAATGTGGACACTTTCTCTGATGCCCTGCATAAGCTGGGAGTGCACGTGAAAGCACTGTTTGTGAAGGAGCAACCCCAAAGTGTTTACTGTGAGGTTAAAGGGAACCTTCACTGATATTCCACATCAACATGTTAAAGGTGTCGGGGAGTTCCACTGCCTGTGTGTAAAAAACCTTCTTGTGGATCTAACGAAACTATAGTATAATAGTTATAGTTAATACGCGTTTCCCATTTTCAAGGTGTAAAAAATAAGAACCTCTATAATAAGCCTGCTCAAAGTTGAGTAGCGTGAGCGTACGATGGCCATCAACCTATAATTAGTGTGTAAAAATACCACATACAACATTCAGATGTTCCACAGTGACAGTGCACAGGACATAGTGACTTACAGAGAAGACAACATCGTAGTCTGCTCCAGTGAAAGCTTCATCTGTCAGGTCCTCAAAATACTCTGTGAGAGAATCCAACGTGTCCTCTGCCAGCTTCTCATACGCTGCTTCAGTCAGCTCACTGTACACAGTGACACACTTGTTATTAGAAATGTAACCATTCAACTAATGATGCTGAAATGAGATAGAACCTGGTTTACCTTTTCTCCAGCCTTATTGGTGTCAGGTGGAGGTTTCTCCTCCATATATCACCATCAACCCTGTTTTCAAACCACTGACACAGAAACAGAGAGGTCAGAAACGAAACCACAAGCACTCAGCAGTTAGTCATCATCACACTTCTGACCAGTGATGTAAAGTAACTAAGTACATTTACTCAAGTACTGTACTGAAGTACAACTTGGAGGTACTTTAATTGAGTATTTCAATTTTGTTCTACTTTGTACTTCCTCCCCACTACAATTCAGTGGTAAATCATGTACCTTTACTCCACTACATGTATTTAATCCCTTTAGTTACTTTACAGATGTGGATTAATGATGTGAAATACTGTATAATCAAGCCTTAAATCAGACTTTAGATCCACCTGGAGTAAATCCACAAGCTACCCTGCAGTATACAAAGTCATTCAAACTAGCTGCACCTTTACCAGCTTTGAGAACACTTTAATGATCAATCATTATAAAACATATCATATATATTATTCTGAAATGGACCAATCTGCACAACTTTTACTTGTGGTACTTTAAGTATATTTTGATGCCAATACTTTTGTACTTTTTACCCGAGTAACCTTTTGAATACAGGACTTTTACTTGTAAGAGAGGATTCCTACACACCTCCTTCCTTTTACTCAAGTACAAGATCTGATTACTTCTCCCACATCTTCTTCAGTCAGTTATCTTTCACTTTCACATTTGACCTTGTAGGGTTTTTACCGTCCACTTTGATACAGCTTAACTTCATAATATATCATTCTCCCAGAGCTTCTGTCCCCTCACTCTGATGACGCAGTGAACAGTTAAAGTGTGTAACTTGTGAATAGAGTCCTACAGCAGCACTCACTTTGTGTTGAGGTTGACAGACAGGATGCAGAGTGTGTGTTGTAAACGGAGCCCCCCTCAGCTGAGAGACGCTCCTGAGCTGAAACATATCAAATAAACAGTTAACTGAGTGTTAGAGAGATATGACACAACGGCAGGTGTTACCGTTTAACTGGTGTCACTGGGAACTGGTGATATTCTATAACGGTAGGAAGATGTGTCAGGAGCGTGTACTTTGAGGAGCCATTGTCGAATAACCAGGAAATACACATTTCGATCGCTTCTTCTGTCGTTTACATTCATCTTTTGGTATATTTGGCTGGATAGGAACACTTTGATGCATATTCAGTAACAGTGTGTGAGGTTGAGATGCCGATATCCAGCGAGGACTACAAAATGACAATGAGGTGACTGGGGATGTCTGTTCAAAATATTGCACGCTTGAATAAATAATTTAAACCAGTTATTTTGCCAGACTTATTACTGAATATCGTTCTTAATGTGATACCAAGTCCATCTGAGACCTGTGTATACCTTCAGACAGCATACAAGTGAAGCACACGTAGTTTACTCGCAGTTTGAAAGCAGCGTGGAGAAGTCTTCAGCTGTGGAGCTGTGATCCGCCCAGGTTAAATTGTGATACGACTTCTGTTCTGTGGCTATCTACCAGCGATCATGTTTAATATTAAAGACTACACACATGTATCCCTTATCAAAACAGTATTCTGCACTTTGCAGCATTTATCCAGATAAGATGTGACAGTTTACTCGTTTTGCAAAGATAGCAGCAGAAATGTCATTGCTGCATGTGCAGGGATATTTAGACTTTAAAATGCTGCTTGGTCATTCATTTTGGTCTCCGCAAACAATATTATGAATCCTCTATTCAAAAATATAATTCAGTGTCCATCGACATGAAAATAACTAAAAAGTTCATGCTGGACTCACACATTAACATGGTTGGGTTACATTAAAATGCAACCCAACCATCATTTATAATGTGAGCAAATGTATGTACACTTTAAGCCATATAATATACATATTATAGTAGGCATTTGCTTTTAAATAGTATACTGACTGAGGTCTGTATCAAGCCTCATTAAGACCCACAGAGATCAGATATCCTAGTTTATCAGCCTGCGAGCCCACATTATGTTGTGATAAGTGGTCATTTTACATATAAATGTATTCCAGTGCACACATTAAGTTATATAATATAAATATAAAATATGCAAATCAGGCCATGTGTTTCGTTATGTAGTATAATCATCACCGACAGATGGAAAGACAACAATAACAAGGAATTAATATTAATATTACCAAGTTACACAGAAATAGATACAAAATATAAGAAAAAAATACCACAAAGATAAAAGCATTAACGTTAAGATAGAAACAAAAACATGTTCACAGCAGAGTAAAAATTATGAATATATGTGTTTGTTCTCAACGTATGTGAGTATCCTCGTCATTCGGTTTGTGTCGCTGTATCGGTGCATAACGAAAGTTAACCAAGTAAACTGTCACATCTTATCTGGATAAGTGCTGCAAAGTGCAGAATACTGTTTTGATAAGGGATACATGTGTGTAGTCTTTAATATTAAACATGATCGCTGGTAGATAGCCAGAGAACAGAAGTCGTATCACAATTTATCCTGAGCGGATCACAGCTCCACAGCTGAAGACTTCTCCACGCTGCTTTCAAACTGCGAGTAAACAACTTGTGCTTCACTTGTATGCTGTCTGAAGGTGTAAACAGGTCTCAGATGGACTTGGTATCACATTAAGAACGATATTCAGTAATAAGTCTGGCAAAAATAACTGGTTTAAATTATTTATTCAAGCGTGCAATGTTTTGAACAGACATCCCCAGTCAACTCATTGTCATTTTGTAGTCCTCGCTGTACGCGTCCGGATATCGGCATCTCAACCTCACACACTGTTACTGAATGTGCATCAAAGTGTTCCTATCCAGACAAATATACCAAAAGATGAATGTAAACGACAGAAGAAGCGATCGAAATGTGTATTTCCTGGTTATTCGACAATGGCTCCTCAAAGTACACGCTCCTGACACATCTTCCTACCTTTATAGAATATCACCAGTTCCCAGTGACACCAGTTAAACGTTAACACAGGCAGCTATAACTACCAATGTTAGCTAATGTTAGCTTCATGACATTAACTGAGTGTAGCTCCGCCGGTTAGCTTTAGCTAACGTTACCTGTTTAAATATGTTCCCGAGTCTCTGCGGTGCCCCCATGTTGAGCTGTCAGCGGTTATATATACAAATAAATACCAGGGAATCTTTGAGAGAAGGAAAGCATGTTCCCCGCTGCCCTGTGTGACCGCCAGGCTGCTCCGTCCTCCGTGTCAATGGACCGAGGAGCCGCTCCCTGCCGGCCACACTGCCGCCTGCTGGGTGGGAGAGTGTGAGAGATAAGCTCAAGATAGCCTAATTTTTCTAACACTGATAATATGTAGTGTTCATATTGAATATTATTGTATTATTGTGAAGTTAAACATTGTGTATTTCTACGAATTTTGCGTATCTTATATCTGCACAGCTTTCCACTTGTCATACCAATACTGCACATATTTTATTGTATTCTATTCCTACATTTGTTTACGTGTTTATCTATATTTCATGTAAATATTGCTATAATTTAATGTTATAATAATTTGTTTTAATAGTTTTATTATTGTTTTTTTTCTTACAATTTATTTTTCTTTTAATGTGTTTATGTAGCGCCATATACTCCAAGGCAAATTGGTTAATTTGTATTTACAGGATCAGAAATCAGAAACGGGGTTATTGCCAAGTCGGATAACTTATCCTATTTTGGAGGCGCTGACCAGCATGGAATTCATGCTGGTCTATGCTGGTTTTTGCTGGTGAAGCTGGTAGTTATGTTGGTCTATGCTGGTGAAGCTGGTATTTATGCTGGTCTACCAGCATTCTTGCTGGTGAAGCTTTATCACCAGCAAGACCATGCTGGTGTACCAGCTTCACCAGCAAGACCATGCTGGTAGACCAGCAAGACCAGCATAGGAAAGCTGATACACCAGCAAGACCAGCTGGTATTGGTACACCAGCAAAGTCTCATTATGTTATAGCTGGTGAAGTTGGATTACCATTTTAGCTAAATAAATAGAGAGAGAGAGACATAGACAGAGAGAGAGAGAAAGACAAACAGACAGACAGACATACATACTGTGACAGACAGAGAGGGCGGGACACAGAGGAACTGCGAGACAGCAGTGGTTGAAACAAAGTGGTTTAAAACAGGGTTTTTAACTGGCGCTAACGATCGGGGAGTGAAGATCAATTGATAGGGCTTTCACAACAACGCGATTCCCGTTCCGTGCTAGAGCTTTTCTGGTTCGGAACCGGTTTTTCTTTTCAGCCCCCGTTTTGTTCATACCGCCCAGAGCCTGACTGGTGGGTTATGGCTAGAACGGTTCCTCTCAGAAGAGCAGCAGTGGGCGGAGTCACAGAAACGGCTCGTTTCTGTGACTCCGCCCACTGCCGGAGCTAGAGCCTGAAAAGCACAGTTTTTTCCTGTTCACACCGCTCCGGAATCCAGTTCGTTTCAAGCACCAAAACATTGTCGGTCTAGAAGCAAGAACCGCATACGTCACGCTTACGTTGGAGGGGGGCGAGATTAACATGAGCTAACAGTTAAAGGCAGTACGGCAAATAAAAGTTGTAACAAGCAGTAGTGCTGAGCAAAGTGACTAGAACGCAACCACACACTTATAAAAAAAAAAAACACTTTATAAAGTCAGGCAACACTAACCAGGCTCCGTGTGATTCTGTTTATTTTTACCTTACTTTGACCATCCGTTCGCTGTTATTGATCATTGTGGAGAGCAGGCAGACGTTTTGTTTTGTAATATAGCAGCTATCGGATGGAATCAATACATGGGCTGCTTCTGACAGCTCTCTCTACTAGGAAACAGCTAAAAGCTACACAATTACACCCAGTCTGATAGTAAAAGCTTTCTCGAAGGTTCGTTTTGCTTTCTTACAACGTTACGTTAATGTTAACGAGGCTATTGTTACTTCCCTTAACAAGAGCTAGCTGTCTTAGCTAACAACAGTTAGCAGCTAACGTTTTCTGCAGTTTGTGTTGCCCCTGAAAAACGTGATGTAGTTATTTTTTGTTGTTATTTTACAAGTTGAGAGTTAAAGGTGGGGTAGGTAAGTTTGAGAAACCGGCTCGAGATCGCTAGAATTTGAAAATACACAACCGGAGAAAATCTGCCACTTCCTTACAGAGCCCCTCCTCCAACACACACAAACGCGCACATGACCAATGAGGGCACGAGATAAGTTTGTGCACAGATGGAAGGCTGACAGGCAGGTAGGCCATCCAGTTATTTTAGCCGGGCCGGCTAAAATGATTGGTCGTGCTTTTTACAGTACTACGGCTTCCACAGATGACATTTTTTTATGGATTTTTTGTCAAAGCACTTAAGATATTCATTGCTATCGGGATGTTAAGAGCATTCCATGGAATATAACAAAAAGTGTATCTCGAGCCGGTTTCTCAAACTTACCTACCCCACCTTTAAGTTTTGTTTAAAATCGTCAATGTAATGCACGTTAGAGGTTTTGTGTTGGACATGAAGTTAGCAAACTCTACAAAAGGTTAGTATGTTAAAGTGGACCTATCATGCTATATTTTAATAATATAGTGTAGGACCATACCTATATAAGGCATATTTATACTTTTTAAATACCAAACAGATCATGCATTTTAGCCATGCCTCATTTCGCTCAATTTGCACTTTTTTAGCCCTGTTTTTGTAAGGGCTGATTCTGTGAGAACAGCACCACCTACATGCCTGGCATATGTACTACAGCGTCTCCAGCGCTTTCGAACGGCAATGGCCGTGGCTGTCTCCTCCTGATTGGTGGAGTTGGCCCAATAGCCGTAGCGCCACCATCCTGACGTCAGTAAAGTGTTCAAATCTGTATCAGTCTGTATCAGATCCGTTGCAGCCCCGTTTTTAGAGATTTGGGTATGGAGGAAAAGAGAGAGGGTTGTGTTTTCCTGACACACCGGGGACACATATTCATGTATAAAAGACGTACAAAGGTGCATTTTGCATGAAACCCTCAAAATGACCTGCAGGTACGTTATTTATATCTGCTCTGTCTGTCCTAAAGATAGTTCAATAGGGCTACAGTGTTTCCCACAGAATTTGATTCTATTTGTGGGGGCACCGCAGCCCACCTCACTATCCATTAGACCAGGGGTTCCCAAACTTTTAAAATTAATGTATTTAAGTTTTCCGTACTCTCGCGGGAATATCTCCGAAATGGAGCGAGTTTAAATTTCGATTGCATGATATAGCCCAGCGCAACACCTTCGTCACACATGTTGCCACTTGTTTGTACCATTTTTTGGCGATTTGTAATCTGTTCTAGAAAAATGATGTGTTTTTTTGGATTTCAAGAAGCATATAGAACAAACAATGGATGTATTTTATGAACATTTATCCATGCTGAAAGTAGATTTAGATGTGTTAGGAGTGAGATACTGTAGAGATTATTATCTAATATATGCATCCAATGAAGCATTGCATGTAGTCTGTTGATGATCAGAGGCTGTTGTTGGGGCTGCATAAACGTTCTTTTATTTTTGTTTTGTAGGCAGACCATACAGGCCAGCCCGATGGTCACCAAGGTTCATGTTTTATAGCATTTTTACAAAAAAAGCCCAGGCGAGCCTAACCCCTAGATTCCACCGGGTCCGTCTGCGCCGCGTTGTGGTTTTGGTCCGGCCTCCTCCGGCGTCATACCCTACCAGGCGCGTTTCAGAAGCATTTCAGAAGCGGAGCGTCTTGCCTGCCGGCTCGCAGTTTTTGTTGATTTGGGCATATTTCCTGGACAGGCTACTTTGTACAGACAAAGTTAATAATAACTGTAATATTCCAGTTATAAACGACATGAATCAAAGATGTGTTGCTGTATTTTAGTGGTAAAAAAATGCATTCATCATCATAATTATTCTATATATATATATATAATTTACACAGTGCCTGTAAACCGGAGGAGAACGCTGGCATTTCTCCTCCTACTTGAAATACTACGGAGGGATAGGGTCTGCAAAATTAGTTTGTGTGTGTGTATATATCGTATATATATGCTCTGAACGTTCCACTTCCTGCCTGCCCGACCTTACGTTACGGCTGCGCCGCGACAAAAATAGGATTCGATCCTAATTTTAGAGGAGCCCTGCGCCGAGCCGCTTCTGGGACGCTTCTGAGCCGCTTCTGAGCCGCTTCTGAGCCGTAACGCGCCGCGTGTGGTGGAATAGCACCCATTGACTAGAGTGGCCGCGATCGCCGTGAGCACCGCGGCGCAGCCGTAACGCGCCCGTAACGCGCCCGTAACGCGCCCGTAATGCGCCGCAGACGGACCCGGTGGAATCTAGGGGTAACATGTGAAAAAATGGCTTAGACCTCAGAGAGTTAAACTTGGGCCTGCGACCATAGTTTTACTGTATTTTGTCTTGAAAATCCACAGCGGAGGTTTGTGTCGTACTACATGCGGTGTATTTTGCATTTCTCTCAGTAGCCAACGATCTGTGAGTCTGTTGGCTCGGACATAAACTCCGTAGTAAATGTAGTCTACATTTCATAAGAGGTGTAAAACCTGTGAGCATTTTAAATCGCATTTGAACTAAATGCTTATAATCTGTAGTTGTATTTGTATTGTTAATTTATTGTGTGAACGAGGTGATATAGAGAAGGTTAAGCTGTCATTACTGTATGTACTGTTGGAGTGGTAAGCAGGCCTATTGTTTTGGGATATTTGTGGAGTTAGGTGGTCCGTGAGTGTTTTTTTATTGGTTAAGTGGTCCTTGGTATGAAGAAGTTTGAGAAACACTGCGCTAGTGGATTCTCAACGGGGGGAGCCTCGCTGCGGGGAAATTATACAGATGGCCAGTCCACCCCTGAAAAATGTCTATGCACACGTTATTATTAATAATAATTAAAAAATATTGATTACATTCTTTATTTTTTTATTTTGTAATCATCTCGCGACCCCCACTCGGGTCTCGCGACCTCCACTTTGGGAACCCCTGCATTAGACCACCAAAATAAAAAAAGAATTATTATTAATTTAAAAAAAATTATGAGATCCATTTGTGGCGGACGATATTTAATTGTGGCGGCCCGCCACAATTAAATCAATGTACTGGGCTACAACAACAAACTGTTACGCTCTCACGAGCCTACAGGACTGAACTCCTAATGCTGAACACCAGGAAGAGGAGACAGAGTTTAGTTGGTAAAAAAGGTTTATTTAACCAAAAAACCCTTCGGGAATAAACAGAAGTTGGGAGGTCTCCAGGGCTGAGGGGAGCTTGGGCAGAGCTACAAAATG